GTGTCCATCCCCGGCGTGTTCTCCTATGTGTCCATCTCCGGCATGTTCTCCTATGTGTCCATCCCTGGCATGTTCTCCTATGTGTCCATCCCTGGCATGTTATCCTACGTGTCCATCCCCTGCATGTTATCCTATATGTCCATCCCCGGCATGTTATCCTATGTGTCCATGCACACATAGACTGGAATCAACGTTTTTTGGCTGGGACGTTTCTTGGCTAAGACATTTTTAGGCTGGGAAAAAAAATCCAGGACTAGTGGGCTTCTAGAGGAGTTTTATAGCTGTAAAAATGCTCTAACGTTGAAAAATGCTGGCGGCGTGCCGGCGTGATGGCTGAGGCCATCCCCCATACATAGGATTACACGGGTGGTCAGAGTGGTGTCCTTTCTCATCTTCCCAGCTTTAAAGGGGTCATGTGAGATGAACCTATACTTGCAACTGTGGCAGCACCTGGGCAAGCATGGGATCCAAAGCCTCCGCTGAGTTGCAGTTTAGGGCAACGTCCATGAAACATGTAAATCTTTGGTGCCTGCACTCAGAAGGGCCTTAGGAAGATATTGGGAGCAGAATATCTTGTCCTGAGGGCACATCACTTTCTTTAGTTGAAAAAGGTGCAGCTCAACTCTTTAATAAAAATCTCACAGGAGGTAGGTAGGGCAGGAGAAGGTTGAATACCCCATAATTTGGTTGACTGGACTGACAGCTTCTCATGTCCAAGATTAGCAGCTAGGTGGTTTTTTTTTTTCAATCTCCAAGCCCAAGTTTTCTATTCAAATCTATTTAAATTATGAACTACTGATCACTGAGTTGAGAAAATTTCTGTAATATTTTCACACTTCCATATTTTAATGTCAGAGAGGCCTTGGAAAATGCAAAACACTTATAGAAGTGTCCAATATTAGGTCACTTTAGGTCACATGGTACTGGCCACGGGGCCGGTACACAGATCTGTCATAGGCCGTGTCTGAGGTACACAGCTGGTGAGAGATCTCGTCACAGAGCGTCCCTGTGCTCGATCCGGGAAGGACGTCATATGACACCCACCCAGATCGTCCTTCTCTCCTTGTGCAGCCTCTTCTCTTTGATGTTCCATTTGTTGGTTGCAATCTAACGCCATCGCGTACAATGCAGGACCAGCAGTCCCGCCTTGTATGTGAGTATACTAAGGAGCAGCTCACAACCTGGACCATTGGATGGAAGAGGAGAGTGCCAAAAGCTGGGGGAGCTGGCCATAGACTAGTAGAATCTTGTATGAACGTTAAAACACGTTCTTGCCAGCATTGGGTCAACTAATTTAGTTTCCTTAGTAGCCCTTAGTCCTTGCGCACACTGGACGTTTTTACAGCGGCTGTTTTTGGCTTTTGACGTTTTTTTCTACAGCCAGTAAACCCCCCAGCATGATCTCCTAGGTGTCCATGAACAACGTTTTTTGCCAGGGATGTTTTTTGGCTGGAAAAAAAAATCCAGGACTAGTGGGCTTCTAGAGGAGTTTTTTAGCTGTTAAAATGCTCTAACGCTGAAAAACGCTGCAAAATGCAGTAAAACGTGGTAAATTGTGGGAAACACGCATTTTTGGATGTTTTTTTGACTAACATATTTTTTTTATTTTGTTGTGAAAAAAAAAGCCAAAAAAAAAAAAACACAAACACGAAAAACATGGCAAAATGCTGCTAAATGTTAATACAAAAACGCTAAAAAAATGCGGTAAAACTGGCATTTTTGGACTTTTTTTGACCCCAAAAATATTTTTTTCATGGTAAAAAAAGGCTAAAAAACGCAAACTCGGAAAGACGCTTAAAAACACAAACTTGGGAAACCGCCGCTAAATGCTAATGCAAAAACACTATAAAAAAAAAAACTAAAGTTTTTAACGTCCCGTGTGCGCAAGGGCTTAAAATTTCAACCAGATCTGCTATCGGAATGGACTCCCGGACATATTAAAACCAGGTTTCATGAAAGACATGTTTTATGGCAGCACAATGGCTAAATGGTTAGCACTTCCTCCTGGCAGTACTAGGGTTGCTGGTTCAAATCCCAGCCATCGCACCACCTGACTGGAGTTTGTAAGTTCTCCCTGTTCCTGTGTGGGTTTCCTCTGGGTACTCCAGTTTCCTCCCACACTCTAAAGACATGCTGGTAGGATAATTGTCTCCTGTGTAAATTGTCCCTAATATATGTATGTATGAATGTGAGTTAGGGACCTTAGATTGTACACCCCTTGAGGGTTAGGGACCTTAGATTGTATGCCCCTTGAGGGTTAGGGACCTTAGATTGTACACCCCTTGGGGGTTAGGGACCTTAGATTGTACGCCCCTTGAGGGGGGACCTTAGATTGTACCCCTTGGGGGTTAGGGACCTTAGATTGTATGCCCCTTGAGGGTTAGGAACCTTAGATTGTATGCCCCTTGAGGGTTAGGGACCTTAGATTGTACACCCCTTGAGGGTTAGGGACCTTAGATTGTACCCCCCTTGAGGGTTAGGGACCTTAGATTGTACACCCCTTGAGGGTTAGGGACCTTAGATTGTACACCCCTTGAGGGTTAGGGACCTTAGATTGTACACCCCTTGAGGGTTAGGGCCCTTAGATTGTACGCCCCTTGAGGGTTAGGGCCCTTAGATTGTACACCCCTTGAGGGTTAGGGGATTGTATGCCCCTTAGGGACCTTAGATTGTACGCCCCTTGAGGGTTAGGGCCCTTAGATTGTATGCCCCTTGAGGGTTAGGGCCCTTAGATTGTATGCCCCTTGAGGGTTAGGGCCCTTAGATTGTATGCCCCTTGAGGGTTAGGGCCCTTAGATTGTATGCCCCTTGAGGGTTAGGGACCTTAGATTGTACACCCCTTGAGGGTTAGGGCCCTTAGATTGTACACCCCTTGAGGGTTAGGGCCCTTAGATTGTACGCCCCTTGAGGGTTAGGGACCTTAGATTGTACGCCCCTTGAGGGTTAGGGACCTTAGATTGTACGCCCCTTGAGGGTTAGGGACCTTAGATTGTACACCCCTTGAGGGTTAGGGACCTAGATTGTACGCCCCTTGAGGGTTAGGGACCTTAGATTGTACGCCCCTTGAGGGTTAGGGCCCTTAGATTGTACACCCCTTGAGGGTTAGGGCCCTTAGATTGTACGCCCCTTGAGGGTTAGGGCCCTTAGATTGTACGCCCCTTGAGGGTTAGGGCCCTTAGATTGTACACCCCTTGAGGGTTAGGGCCCTTAGATTGTATGCCCCTTGAGGGTTAGGGACTGATGTGAATGTACAAAATATATGTAAAGTGCTGTGTAAATTGATGGCGCTATATAAGTACCTGAAATAAATAAATGCCTTCCTGATGGAAATCCACATTCACAGTTAGAATTCTATTTGGTAAAAAAAAAAATTGCCATCCTGTAGATTTGCCCCCACTTTGTTCAGCACTCAACGTAACGTTTCCCAAAAACACCAATTTTCATACAAAATTCTACTAGTGTATGGCCAGCTTGTTCCAAATGACTTTTCAATGCCCCCCCCCCCCCAGGCAATAAGCACACATGTAACCCTTGCAAGGTTGGTGAACCCCACTGCAGTGATCGTTTTTTTCTCTCCAATTTTTCAGCATTTGCATTCATCTCAAAATGAAATTTTCTGCTCTTGACAAAAAAGATTCCAGTTTATAATTGGCTGCACGTTTTTTTTTTTTTCTCCAAATATAACTTACATTTAAGCTGTACTAAGCCTCCGCCAATTCTGGGAATTTGCCCAGAGTAACATCTCACGCCTTATCTATGTATACAGGACTGGCTGGTGTGACTATCTGTGACACCACACCCTGACACCACACCACATACAGAGCTTGAATGGAACCCTTTCGCTGCCAGAGACATTGCTTTTCCATTCTGCATACACATAATAAATGCCCACTTACCACCCCACAACAGTACAGGCCGACCTCGGTTTACGAAAGCCTTGGTTAACGTAATTTTACGAATGAAAATCCATTGAAATGAATGGCTCGGTTTACTTAATTTTTTTCGCAATACAAACGGATTAATTGGTTTTCAATGCATTTACAAATTAATTTTGAATCATGTCCCTGTACAGTATTTATGCCTTTAAAGTGCACTTTATAAAGAGTTTTTTAACAGAGACTTTTTTTTACTTTTTTCTGACCTCCGGAATGGATTAATTGGTTTTCAGTGCATTTACATTTTTATTTTTTATCATGTCCCTGTACAGTATTTATGCCTTTAAAGTGCAATTTTATTATTATTATTATACAGTGTTTATATAGCGCCAAAGGGTTTGCTCAGCGCTGTACATTAGAGTGGGGGGACAGAACATGAGACAATACAGTAACAATACAATACATGAGGGGTTCGAGGGCCCTGCTCTTTTGAGCTTACAATCTAGGAGGGAGGGGGTAGTAGTACAGGAGGAAGTGGCTGTGGGGGGTGGAGTGGTAGGAGGAGTGGAGAAGAACGGCTGTTAGGTGAGGGTGGGGTAGGCTTCCCTGAAGAGATGGGTTTTCAGGGTGCACCTGAAGGTAAGGAGGGTAGGTGACAGTCTGTCAAGATAGACTTTTTTCTGACCTCCGGAACGGATTAATTGGTTTTCAATGCATTTACAAATTAATTTTTAATCATGTCCCTGAACAGTATTTAGGCCTTTAAAGTGCACTTTTATAAAGATAGACTTTTTTTTTACTTTTTTCTAAACCTCCGGAACGGATTAATTGGTTTTCAGACTCAGAGCCACTGAGCTATGAAGGCTAGCAGATCACTGAAGGAGCATAAAGAAGAAGGCAGGGTCTAACTAAAGGACTGATTGGCCAAAACAGACAAGGGAGCTGACTTGTGAATGGGCACCGAATGAATGGATCAGAGGCTGTAGTCACCTATTCCACCCAGCTACTCCATTCATAGAAGTTGTATAAGCACTGATCTGTCTCCTCCCACTGTTGCAAGAGGTAGGATCAGGACTGCAAACATTACCATGTGATCACTGTGATTCTCACCATCTCCTCCATCCCTCTCTGCCAATCCCTCCACTAACCTCCACTCAATGTCCTCCACCCCTCTCTGCCAATCCCTCCACTGGCCTCCACTTAGTGTCCTCCACCCCTCTCTAACAATCCCTCCAGTGGCCTCCACTTAGTGTCCTCCACCCCTCTCTGCCAATCCCTCCACTGGCCTCCACTCAGTGTCCTCCACCCCTCTCTGCCAATCCCTCCACTGGCCTCCACTCAGTGTCCTCCATCCCTCTCTGCCAATCCCTCCACTGGCCTCCACTTAGTGTCCTCCACCCCTCTCTAACAATCCCTCCAGTGGCCTCCACTTAGTGTCCTCCACCCCTCTCTGCCAATCCCTCCACTGGCCTCTGCTCAGTGTCCTCCATCCCTCTCTGCCAATCCCTCCACTGGCTTCCACTCAGTGTCCTCCATCCCTCTCTGCCAGTCCCTCCACTGGCCTCCGCTCAGTGTCCTCCATCCCTCTCTGCCAATCCCTCCACTGGCTTTCACTCAGTGTCCTCCATCCCTCTCTGCCAATCCCTCCACTGGCCTCCACTCAGTGTCCTCCACCCTTCTCTGCCAATCCCTCCACTGGCCTCCACTCAGTGTCCTCCATCCCTCTCTGCCAATCCCTCCACTGGCTTCCACTCAGTGTCCTCCATCCCTCCCTGCCAGTCCCTCCACTGGCCTCCGCTCAGTGTCCTCCATCCCTCTCTGCCAATCCCTCCACTGGCTTTCACTCAGTGTCCTCCATCCCTCTCTGCCAATCCCTCCACTGGCCTCCACTCAGTGTCCTCCACCCTTCTCTGCCAATCCCTCCACTGGCCTCCACTCAGTGTCCTCCACCCCTCTCTGCCAATCCCTCCACTGGCCTCCACTCAGTGTCCTCCACCCCTCTCTGCCAATCCCTCCACTGGCCTCCACGCAGTGTCCTCCACCCCTCTCTGCCAATCCCTCCACTGGCTTCCCATTGCCCAACGGATAAAATTAAAAACATTAACAATAACATATAAAGCCATTTATAACTGCCCCAAATTACATCACCGATCTTGTCTCAAATATCACAAATATCACCCAAACCGTACTCTCCACTCCTTGCATGACCTCCTGCTCTCTAGCTCCCTTGTTTCCTCCTCCCATTCTCGCCTCCAGGACTTCTCCAGAGCTTCCCCCATCTTCTGGAACTCTCTACCCCAATTTATCAGACTATCGCCTACTCTGCTCACTTTTAGGCGATCTCTGAAAACCTATCTCTTCAGGGAAGCCTATCCTGCCCTCAGCTAATAATGGATTCTTCTACTCCTCCTACCAGTCCATCCCCCACACTTACTACCTTTTGTACCACTAGCCCCTCCCTCCTAGATTGTAAGCTCCCAGGATCAGGGCCCTCCTATCCCTCTTGTATTGAACTGTATTGTTGCTGTATTGTCTCCCGTTATATTGTAAAGTGCTGAGCAAACTGCTATATAAATCCTGTATGACGCCTGTATAATAATAATATATAAATCCTGTATAATAATAAATCCTGTATAATAATAATAATATAAATCCTGAATAATAATAATATAAATAATAATAATATATAAATCCTGTATAATATAATAATATATAAATCCTGTATAATAATAATAACAATGATCAAAGAGATCACATGGTGCCCAGCCCATTTTGATTGGCTGGGAACTGTGTCTCTGTGTACCCAGCTGTCTAATGATGAGTGGGTACACAGCCATCACCCGGTAGACTGGCATTGGGAAAATAAAGGGCCACCTATCCACTGCTGAAAAATGTACGATGCTACATAAGTGGTTAAACAAACTGCTAGCAGGCTTCAATGGGCTTTATAGCCTGCCGGATACTTGCTTACAGCCACACTTACGACTCCCATTTTGAAATGTGTTTAAAAACAACAATAGTGATGTCAGCTACTGATGATGGATGAAGACCTGGGTCACCATCAATATTCCAATAGGGTTGAGGTCAGGGGCTCTGTACTGGCCAATCAAGTTCCCCCACACCAGACTCATTAAAGCATGTCTTTGTGAACCTGGTGAAGCCCACCCTGAGAAATGCTATTGTCCAAACACATGTAGAGGTTATAGGAGCTATCTGTTGAGGATGGTGCCATTTTAGCCTCTAGTTCTATTTAAAATTCTGTTTATGCATTGACATACCTCCTTAGACCCAGTCTGTCTGGACAGTACGGTCACTTGCTAACTTGGCACCATCCAAGGGGTGTATTTACCACAAGGCAAACAAGGCATTTGCCTTGGGTGGCATTTTTTACGGGGGGGGGGGCAGCACTGCCCCTTGGAAGAAGGGACACACGCGGCATGGGGACCTGGTGGGCACCAAGAGATGCTGTGGGTGTCATGAGGGTGTATGCACAGCCCGACTCTCGTTCCTGAGGATGTCCGGAGCTGTGAAGGTGAATGTCTTTCTCTCTCTCACCATGGGGGATGGTGGCTGGTGTATGGGGGCAGTGGTAGTGGAAAGCTCGGGTGGAGGGCAGGAGTGTTCTTGGTCAATGTCAGGCTCTTTCTGTGGGGGGCACCAATTTTTGTGTTGCCTAGGGCGGCATTTTTCAGGGGGGCAGCACTGCCCCTTAGAAGAAGGGACACACACGTGGCATGGGGGCCTGGTGGGTTCTCAGAGTGCTGTGGGTTTCATAACAGTATATGCACAGCCCAACTCTGGGGATGTCCGGAGCTGTGAAGGTGAGTGTCTTTCTCTCTCTCGCTATGGGGGATGGTGGCTGGTGTATGGGGGGCAGTGGTAGTGGAAGGCTTGAGTGTTCTTGTCAATGTCAGGCTCTTTCTGTGGGGGGGGGGTCACCAATTTTTGTGTTGCCTAGGGCGGAATTTTTCAGGGGGGGCAGCACTGCCCTTTGGAAGAAGGGACACACGTGGCATGGGGACCTGGTGGGTTCTGAGAGATGCTGTGGGTTTCATGACGGTGTATGCACAGCCTGACTCTCGTTCCTGGGGATGTCCGGAGCTGTGAAGGTGAGTGTCTTTCTCTCTCTCGCCATGGGGGATGGTGGCTGGTGTATGGGGGGCAGTAGTAGTGGAAGGGCTCGGGTGGAGGGCAGGAGTGTTCTTAGTCAACATCAGGCTCTTTCTGTGAAGGGGGGCCACCAATTTTTTGTGTTGCCTAGGGCGGCACAAAAACCTAAATACACCACGGCACCATCCACAGGCAGTTGAACTCTTCAATAAGACACAGAAGTTGAATCCAGCACAATTACTTCAGCTAATTGCTAATTGTTCCTCCAGGGACCTGGCCGAAACCACGGAAAACAGCTTCCCCAGTAAACGCAGGAGGAACTAGGGGAACATTCATTCCCCAGTCCCCCCTGCGGCCAATCACCCCAGAAGCAACGTGTATTATGGCACATCTGGTATCATCAACTATCAACTGTCATTCCTCAACTAGAGTAACCATGAGCTGTGTTTGAATAGCTACATTGGAGGGTGGAGGAGACATCAGGGGTCTAATAGATCCCTGATGTCTCCATAAAGAATACCTGTCACCGGCCCATGCTATCACATAGGGGGCTTATTAGCTCCCTTGTGATAGTAATAAAGTTACAAAAGTGTAAAAAAATATAAAATAAAAATAAAATAAAATAATAATAAAAAAATTAAAGCACCCCCGTCACCCCTGAACACACCCCATAGAAAAAGCTTGCTGAAGTGGCGAGCGGGCGACCAGATAATGATTATTGCATCACATCCCTTAAAATTGCATATATTCAATAGAGAAGATGGAACTTTCAGGGTGCATGAACAAGAATACCAAACATATTAAAAAGTTATATAATTTTTATTTCGTATTTTTAAAAAAAAAACAACAAAAAAAGGAAAAAATACAGAAACATAAAAACAATTTCAGTACTAAGAGTGAAACTGAGATTCAAACTTGATTATATACTTGTAGTTACTCCCTACATGTTTCGCCCTCATGGGCTTCTTCAGGGGAGATTTTTTAAGAGATTTCACCCGCCGAGGCCGTCTAAAGGTATATCAAAGGAAAATTATACAATTACCAAACAACTTTAATATATCCAAAACAAAGTGTTTAATCAACTTTTTATATTATAAAAGTCTCCCCTGAAGAAGCCCGTGAGGACGAAACATGTAGGGAGTAACTACAATTATATAATCAAGTTTGAATCTCAGTTTCACTCTTAGTACTGAAATTGTTTTTATGTTTCTGTATTTTTTCCTTTTTTTGTTGTTTTTTTTTAAAAAAATACGAAATAAAAATTATATAACTTTTTAATATGTTTGGTATTCATGTTCATGCACCCTGAAAGTCCCATCTTCTCTATTGAATATGTGTATGTAAACATTAATTGCACTACACATGTGAGGTACGGCTGTGAACATTGAATGAGATTAATAATTGTATGCCCAGAGTTCACAGTTAACTTTAAATCAAGATAAAGACTTTTAAAGCGTCACCTATAGAGAAATTAGTTTTTTTGCATATGATATGTTCAATGTCTATTTACTCGATACAACCCCACCTTTTATGTTTTGCCAAACAAATTGGGTATAATATTGCATTTGTTTGCACTAAAATTCATTTTAATGCATTTTCTCCTGAAAATATGCATTTGATAAATAACTGCACAAACATCGCGCGATATAACAAATTGCAACAACTGCCACCATTTTATTCTCCAGGGTCTCTGCTTTCAGCAAATATATACTTTTACGGAGGTTCACAGTATTTTTCAGTAAAAAAGAAAGATTTTAACGTGTGCAGAAAATGTAAAAATTGCTTCGGTTAGTGGTTAATGATTTTAAAACATAAACATTTCAAAATTGAGCTTGTAGGAGGAAATCTGGTGAGACGCATCAGTGACTGTGGCTATCACTAAGCACGAAGCCCATTTTCTAGCGAAAAGGAAATTGTCATAGATTTGAATCAACGATAATGTAATTTTTTTCATTTTTACTTTTTTCTTTAAACTATTTACTATACAATTGCAAAATTAAACATTTAAGGTGTCAACGTAAACTGTAAATGTAAACCGTATGTGCAAATGTAAACTGTTCAGATTTGGGCGATTAGGTATCGCAGGCAGAATCGGTGCTATTCTGTGCACTATTCAAAATTTTAACTGTAAATGAATGGCTTTCATTCATGACAGCTTGCTTACTATTGTAATGTTGTGATTGGATGCAGCTATCACATGATACAAGGTCGCTGTGAATTACCTTGTACAGTACTATGTGATAACTGTGATGGATCGCAGACATTACAATAGTAAGCAAGTTGTCATGAATGGAAGCCATTCATGGCAGTTTTGTTTACATCTTATCATGTGATCGCTATGATCGGTCAAATTGATTGGTGATTAGTACCGAGCAATGTGATCTGCTGCATCCACTGGACACAGCAGTCATAGATTGCGCCACTGTGTGTGAGCGTGAGGGCATCCCTCCAGAACTAGAGGACCACCCCTTAGCCATGTAACAACACTATGACGGGCGGGAAGTGGTTAAAGTGGTTGTAAAGGAAAACATAAAAAATAAAAAAATAACAAACATCTCTATACTTACCTGCTCTGTGTAATAGAATTGCACAGAGTGGCCCCAAACCTCCTCTTCTCAGGTCCCCCACTGGTACCCCAGGCCCCTCCTCACTTCCCAGTGTCCCCATGGGAAGCTGCTTCCCATGGGAGCACTTGTGCAAGCCACTGCATCCATTGACACAGATGGCGGGACTCAGCCCCGCCCCCTGCTCCCTCATCACTGGAGTTGATTGACAGGAGTGTTAGCCAATGGCTCTCGCTGCTATTAATCAGCCCAATGAGGACGGAGACAGTGGCGAGAGTCATTGCTCTCGTGCACGTTGCTGGATCGGATCGGGCTTAGGTAAAAATAAAGGGGGGCTGGGGGGTGGATCCTGCAGCAGAGAAG